GGGGGGGGGCCGGGGGGGCCAGGCCCACCTGAAAGCGCCTCGATGGCCTTGAGGGCCCAGCCGTCGTCCGGGCAGTCCACGAACGCGTAGCCCGTCTTCACCAGGAAGGGTCCCGACACCGGGATCTTGGCGTCCTTGAAGATACTTTCCAGGTCCGTGGGGGCGGCGTTCTCGCTGAGGTTTCCGATGTACAGTTTGTTCATTGTGAAGAGTGGTGGCTTTTTTTTTAATTTTTAAAGAAAAAAAATAAGGGAAAGGGAAAAAAAACACACACTAAAAGCACCCACTGTGAGGGATGATCCGGAGGGTTTTGTTCCCGGGTCTCCCCGCCGCCTTTAAACACACAAACACCGCAAGAACCACGCACTCGAACGACGGGCGGAAAAAAAAAATCAACCCCGAGGGCTCCCGTGTTTCCAATCCCCGGAATAGAAAGAAAACGAGACAAGAAAAGAAAGAAAAACCTAGCTACAAACCCAACGCTTGAACGAGTCTGCCGAACTCCGGGCAGGAGGAGGCGGGATTAGCGAGAGAAAGGAGGAGGAGGGCGGGGGGGGGAAGGGGGGGAAACTACTTTTTGTCTCTTCCTCCCCAGCCCCTTTGGCATCAGCCAGCGGACTGTGAAAACATCACACTACGTGAAGCAGGCGCCGCCTCCCCATAAAAACCCCCGACGGGTGACTGGCAGGAGGGAGGGGACGCGGCCGGGGCTGGAGGGGGTGGAGGGAGGGAGGGAGGGAGGAAGGCGCAGGGGGCGGAAAAAATCCGCTCTGAGTGTCCGGCTTTTTGAATGAGCCACGTGTTCAAACTACAAATCAACCTCTCACGTGAGGAATCCCAGCGCCTCAATTAGAGTGGGTTTCGGAGGAAAAAAAAAAAAAACCACCACCAAGCTAGAGGAAGAGGGGGAGGGGAGGCGAGATTGGCGAGGGAGGGGGGGGCGGGGGGAAGGAAGAGAAGAAGAAGAAAATGCTAAAGCAGCCGCAGCCGGGTACCGAGGGGGAGCAGAGCCGCGAGCTGATTGTCACCACCCGAGTTTAGCCGTGGTTATCGGGCCGGGCGGATCCGCGCAGGAAGGGAGGGTTGGAATACTGATGATTGGTATTTCTCTGATGAGCGAAAGGCTAGGGGTCCTGAGCGGGCCGCTCCTCTCCCTCAGTGACCGCGGGTTTCTTCATTCGATTTTTTTTCCTAAATAGAAAATTAACAAAAGCAACGAGTCACAATCTCCAACTCGCCCGGTGGCTTTGATGACACGGGAAGTCTAACCCGGTGAAGCCGTGAGCACGTTTCCAAGGCTGGCAGGGACGGAAACGCAGCGAGGGGCTGGGGGGGGCGGGGGAGCGGGCAGACGCCCCTTCCCCCGCACCCTTCACCGCCCCCGATCTCCCCGGGAAAAGGGGGAGGGGGCCGGGGCCGCGCGGTGGGGGAGGGGAGCCCGCGGCGTCCTGGGCGGGTGTCTGGGCGACACCTCCTCCGCCTCGGCCTGCGCTCGCGGTGGCTCGGGCTCCGCGTTTGCCATTGGTTGCTGGGTTCAGAAAAGGCTCCGGGATAAATGAGGCCGGGGGCGGGCTCGGCCAGCGGTGGGGGAGGGGAGCGAGGGGCGGAGGTTTCTGGGGTGGGGATGGGGACGTCAGGGGCCTGGGCCAGCGCTGGAGCGGAGTCAAAATGAGAGAAGTCGGTACTTAAAGGGAAACCCCCTCTTCCTGTGGTTTTGGGGGGCGCCGGGGGAAGGGTTGGGATAGGCTGATACTTTTATTTAAATACATTTTAGTTGGAGAACTTGGGACTCAAACAGGAACAGCGCTGCGCGTTAGCCTTAGGTGCTATTTCCACTTGTAAAACTGTTCCTAGTCCCCCTTCTGCCTGCGTGTAGGCAGGCGAGCCATTCATATTTCCCGTGTGTGTGTGTGTGTGTGTGTGTGTGTAACGAGCACAATGGTCGGTGTGGTGGGGAAGGTCTGGGCCTGGAGGAGCCTGCCTAGGACAACAAGATCGGAACTGGGGACCAGGAATACGGAAATGCAGGCGGTGCTGGGGCTCTTGTGAAAATCTCCCACTGTGGTTGTGTGCTCCATTCAGGGGCTTTGAACCAGACACTTGTGGTGTATTTTTAACGGGTATTTCACGAAACAGATATAAAGTACTAATGTTTAACAAGTGAATCAAAGTCTACATGCCATGGAAATCTAAACAAGAATCTTGAATATGCTAGTAGACAAATGAATGGGGGAAAATACTGATTTACACTGGAAATTCGTAACAATTCATAGTCTGCTCCTCTTAGAACTGTAGCGCTTAAAAAGTTGTTTTCCAAGAAAAGATGAATGGAAGATTATTTTTCAACGTGGAAAGTGTTGCAAGACCTAAAGAGTATTTACATTTTTGTTTTTTAAAAAACGCAGACTCTTATGTTAACCGGAAGGTGTCAGATCATCCATTTTAAATGCAAGTGTTCTTTCTACAGGTTCCCCCCCACTCCCCGCCAAGCAAATCCAACTTCCTAAACATAAACACACTTTCACAATATTTTCATAGACGTTTAACTTAAAACTCTTCTTACTTTATGAGAGTTTGGGGGGGGGGCAAACGTGACCTGTGTCAGTGTTAAAAACTGTTTACAAACAATCTGGAATGAACATTTTGGAAGTGAAATTTCTCTTTATAACTCTTTAAATGCTTATTTTTGCCCTTTTAGCACCAAAAGGGGGGTGGGTGGCATTCTTTCTCCTGACTTCTGTAGAATTTAGAATGTCAGAATAAGATTTTGTGAATTTTTCAAGTACCTGTTGCATGTGATCAAAAAGTATTTGGGGAAATATGCTTTTTTTATTCATAACATTTGCTTTTCTACATCACCTTAAATGTTGTACTGTTGATCATTTAACTTCATTTTTCATAACTTTTGTGTGTTCAGTTTGCTTACAAAATGGATTTTCTGGATTGTTTGCTTTTACTAAAACTGAGACCTCAAAATAACTTTTAAAACATGGGATAAATGCTTATTTTAGATAAATACTAGCCTGTGCTTTCACCATTAAAAAATGCACTGGAATGTAAAACAAGTGTGTGTTTGCTTTAAAGAATATGTTGCTGGGACTCTTGTGAACTTAATCTGTGTATTATTGTAACAAACTGGATACTCTTGTCTAGGACCTTAAAAACATACACAAGTAATGTAAACTGAAACATCAAAAAGCAAGGCGATAAAAGTGTATCCACTTGCAATCCACCAAGCCATAGAGGGCTAAGGATATATATACTCAGCAGAATTTTAAAAAATATTTTTTTACTAGTGCAAAGATAAATCTGGTGCAAAAATACCAGGTAAATTTTCAACAACGAATAAAGTCAATGTAACTTTTAAGTCTTTTAGGAATCACTGTAAATGGGCTACCCCAATATCTCCCTGAAGCAGTTGTAGCTAATTATTGTTAATTCCACGAAGGATTCCCACCCATCTGTTTACTTTTAGAGAGCTGCATCTCCTGAACTGCTGACCTGAGAAAAGTACGAACGTTTCCTGTAGCTCATTGTAATCTTTAAAGGAGAAAAAGCTTGTCTACAAAGTAGGTTGTTGTTGCTGTACCCACAGGTTGTGAGCAAAGGCTGGGTGGGCAGGGGGGAAGAGAGGGCCGTGTCGCTGCCCCTCACCCTGCACCGCGGGCCGCCTGAGACCTTGCGCACGGGTGGGCACACAATACCCGCTGCATTGCCAGGGGCTCAGAAGACATTCCTGCCCATTCTCGCGCTCCCTTGGACTCGGATCTGTTCAAACCAGAGGTGTGAGCGGTGGTAACCCGGCTCTTGGGTCTCTCCAGAACCTGGCATTTGTTTAAAACTGAATATGGTGCCCCAGGGATGAACATGAGGTTGTTTTGTTTCCTTTTTCCTCTGGGTCGGCCGAGAAAAGAAATAAAGGGCGGACGGGATCCTCGCCCTCTGGGCTCAGGTCTTTGGTGGGCCGCTAGCCCATCCCAGAGGCCTCGTTCCCCCCCCCCCGAACCGCCCGCCCTCAGGCGGGCAGCACACTCCAGGAGCCGCTCGGGTGGGGTTTTTGCGCGCGAAGCCGCGTGGCCGAGCAGGACACGAGGACCGAGAAGGAGGAGGGGCGCATCCAACACACGACCCCACCTGAGATCGCCCCCTCCCCGCGCCTGAGCCGCGGTCACCGACACGCAGCGAGTGCCTGGCGAGCCTCTCGCGTCTCCGACCTCAGCTACGGGCTTGTTGGAGGCTCGGAGGATGCGCGGTACCCACCGAAAAAGAACAAGAGGTGCTGCCGGTGAACCCAGTGTTTCAGCCTGGGGCGGGGCGGGGCGGGGCCGGGCCTGGAGACCCGCGCGCAAAAGCGGCCCGGGGCGGGGCTCCGGCGCTGCACAGGGGCCGAATAGACCGAGACCAAGTTGAGCAACCGGCGTCGAGAGAGGCGCCTCCCCTGGCGAGGAGGGGGCTACTCGTCTCTGATTGGTGGAAGGAGGAAGCCTATCACCTTCGGCTGTCTCCGCAGCAGCCGTTTGCTGGTTTCCATTCATTGGTCCCCCAAGCCTCCCTGTATTTCCATATTTTATGGCGCGAAAATAACCCTTTGCAACCTCGTTGGTTTTGTTGTGGTTGTCGGGTGGGATCGGGTTCCCCTGGTTGCTCTCGTCTTTCCTGCCCTTTAACTGCTCGCCCCCTGCCCCAGCCCCCCCGTGGAAGGAAGGGGAAGGTAACTGGGGAGTAGAACAGAGTCCTACAGCGAGTGTGGAGCCCGCCCTTCGGGTGACCGCGTGGTGCCCGCGGAGTCCCCTCCCTTCCCCCCAACGCCCAGAGGTCCTGGGTTTGCGCCATGCACAGCAGCTGGAGGCACATCTTTTCCAACATCTCAGAAAGTCTACGTCCTTTTTATTTAGAACAACAAAATACTTTTCCAGTTGTCTGAACTTCACTGGGCTTCTAGAGAAATCGACTCTGTCCCCCGTCCCCCTCACCCCATGGGCCTCTTTTGTGCCCCCTTTGTGGTCCGCGGAATTGTTTTAAGCAAAACCAAACAATCCCTCCAAAAGAAAGAGGGGGGGGGGAAGCAAACGAAAAATTGGGGGTTAAAATCAACTATGCCGAGACCACGTTTTCGTTGAAGCTGTGCTAAGATCAGCGAAGCTGACACCGACCTTGAAAGGATGAACGATTTCTGTAGCTGAAATATTCTAATTTTACTGACGTTTGGTGGAGACGGTGAGAAAAAATAAATACGAATTTGGCTTGTAAAAAAACGAAACAAACGAAATAATCATATTTTGATTGATTAGCTGGAAAGGTGTGCAACCATAATGGTGAATTCTAAGGGTTAGTGCCTTTAGTGAATTTGTATTATATAATACATTTCTAATGGTCTCAAAAATAATAATCAGAACTCTGGTCATAACGAGGGGAAAAACGAAGTGTAAATTTGATATAACTAAATTCATAGGAAATTTTTGTTATCTGGGAAATGTACCAGT